CCATAGAACCCTCATGCAGGAAGGCGTGGTACATGCAAGTGTGTTTTTCCCATGAGAGTCAATCTATACAATGATAGGGGTTAGTGACAGCAGTAAGAGCAACCTTCAGGCATCTGTCCAGTAACTGCACAGCGTTCTGATGGGAGAACTGGAAACCAAAGGCTCCCATTAGTTGACTGAATGGATTATTTTCTCCCGGAGCTTCTGGTCAGGAGACCTAGAGTTCCAAAGGGGCATCCACGGTTTCCATGGGAACTGCCGGGAACAACATTTGTGCCCCAGGCTTCTGAAACAGACCGAGTGAAGGAAGGTGAGCCAGAGCAGGGCAATTTAGGAACCCCCTGAGGACGCCTGCACAGGGGCGTGGGGGGCGTCGTCGGCCCCCATCACACCATCACCCTCTAGAGACAGCACCATGGCCACAGGCAATCCAAAATGAAGGACCGCGTGCCCTTGTGCCCCGTGGAGCTGTCCTCAGCCGATAAGTAGAGCGTCGCTGTGAGTGCATATTGTGCTTATGTGGTTAAGTAGGAGGCCGTTAAGTAACAATACCTACGTTCAAATAGCTACAATAAGTTGAAGTGTGTGAAAATCATATTTTGGAAATAATTTAGTATTGAATATAGGCTTTTATATTAATAACACATTTTTGTGTACGATGGCATGACAGCACGGCACACTCCTTTAATTCGACTATTATTCCTATGAGTTAGAAATTATGCCGAACCGGTTTGGCTCAGTGGATAGAGCGTCAGCCTGCGGACTCAAGGGTCCCAGGTTCGATTCCGGTCAAGGGCATGTACCTTGGTTGTGGGCGCATCCCCACTGGGGGGCATGCAAGAGGCAGCTGATTGATCTCTCGCATCGATGTTTCTAACTCTCTATCCCTCTCCCTTCTTCTCTGTAAAAGATCAATAAAATATATTAAAAAAGAGAAATTATTATAATTCCTACTTAACGGCAGAGGAAACGATCTAAGAAAATGCATGCAGTTGGCGATAGAGCGATGCCTACACCCTGGGCTCCTGATGAAAAATCTGTTTTTTCTGTGACTCCAGGCTACAAAGGAACTGACTTATATAGCCAATGATTCACATAAGTTCACCTCCTAATACGTTATTTAAAAAATTTTAATATAAATTTTTAGCTTATTGATTTTATAATGTTTTTAAATTTGTATTTACTGATTAATTTTTTTGTTTTGAGAGAGAGAAAGAAACATCAATTTGTTGATTCTTGTATATGCCCCTTCTGGGGATCGAACCCACAAGTATCTGGACGATGCTCCAACCGAGCTACCTGGCTAGACCTAAAACTACATCATTCTTTACTGGCTGCAGCAGTCAAGAATGTTAATTGAATTCTTTTATTTAATGTTCACTAAACTAGTATTTCCTCAGCTATGTTCTATAAAATGCTGTTGTGCTATTAATGAGTCACAGGAGTGGAAAATAACTCAGATTTGTACAGAAGCCACATGACAACAATAGCAATGGCAGACAATACAACATCTACTTTTTTCATTCTGAACTTAAATTATTTCAACATCTTCTCTAAAATTTGAAGAAAATAGTTAAGATATTGTGCACGTACATATTACTCGATACTTTATCATCTCAAACGTTTAAGAACCGGAGAGCTAAACAATGTAAAATAAGCTAAATTAGGAGAAAACTGAGAAAAGATTGTTGGTATTAGACCAAATGATGAATGCTGGTCTTGTTTCTACCCACGGTCAGCTATGTGACTTTGGAAAACCCGTTCCCCTCTCTGCACCTCAGCTGCTTCTCTCTTCTTTCCTCTATGTTATCACATGATCTTTCACAAATGAAATATATGAAACAGGTAAAACCTAGCCAGGTGGGACCTCTGCTTCCTTGGACTCCAGGAAGTCTGTTTGAACACGGAAACTAGCTGATGTCCCAGGTCCCGCCTGGCTCCTGCTGTCTTTCCTTGTGGTTTGGAATTCCTAAACGCATCGGTGATTAGTGGGGTGCAGAGTGTGGCATGGGTAGGCCCCGGTCTCAGCATCGTGGGCAGCTGTATTACAAGCCACACTGTCTACATATTTTTGGTATTCTTCTTGCAACTGTAATAATTTCTTGTATGTATATTTTACTAAAAATTGCTTTAAATTATTCTTGGCATCCGGCAAGGAATTAATTCTCAAACATTCAAACAATTCACATGACCTTGGATTTCTAATTCCTCAGCAGTGCAGGGTTCTGCAGTCCTGGCTCCCTAGTTAAACTGAAAATTGCTTTAAAAGAGAATTCAAAGTATGTGTGCTATGTTTTCTTTTACTTGTTTGGATCCCATCATCATGGCATGAACTAAAAATGCATGTTCCGATGACACATTCTGAGAAATGATAATTTTAAACAGATACAAGATGTAAATGTCACAGCTGTCAGGCCTTTGACCATCCTGGGCTGCTTTTTTCTTGCAAGAAGATATTTTCTCATTTTTTTGCAGCTAAGTAATAACATTAGTTTTTATGTTTTGTATGGCTTTCCTTCCCATCTGAATCTCCCCTCACTGCTTTCTTCTGATATCAGGGCTGGTGGCACCAGGCCAGCCCTGGCCTACGTTCATTCTGGGACACACTTTGGGGGATATAGACAAATTCGAGAAGAGAATGACTGGACAGCAAGGGGGGCATGGAATTTAGGAGAAGGCTGAAAAGAAAAGGGGAGGGTGGAGGACTTAATCTGGGAAAGACTAAGAGGAAGATGTGGTCTGAGAGAGCGCCTTTGCATTTTTAAAAAATATACATATTTTTATTGATGTCAGAGAGGAGGGAAGAGGGAGAGAGAGATAGAAACATCGATGATGAGAGAGAATCATTGATTGGCTGCCTCCTGCACATCCCACACTGGGGACTAAGTCCACAACCCAGGCATGTGCCCTGACCGGGACTTGAACCGTGACCTCCCGGTTCATAGGTCCATGCTCATCCAGACTGCCTTTGCATTCTGGAAGGGTTGTTAGGCTCAAGAGTGACTAAGGGTGATCAGTACAGCCTCAAGGGACAGAATTAGGACGGGGTGGGGGGGGGGGGGAGACGTATTTTGGAGCTGCCTTTAGCTCCGAGTTTTCCAGCTCTGCTGGTCACAAGCAAAGCCTGGGGCCTGCTCTCCGGGCGTCACAGGCAGCACTCACATGGCATTTGCAGTTAGACTAAATGCTGGTCTTTTCAAACTCGAGTCACTTCTCTGCTATTAAATTTCTATGAATAACATTGACTCCCTTTCCTGCAGTTGAGTGACATCTTCGTTCTCTCAGTATTTCCTTTGTGTGAAACACTTTTTCGTTTGTTTGTTTAAAAGCAAATTCCTAACTTTTATGTGAAGCTGGGTGATTGGAAAGGATTGTCTTCCACGATCCTCCTCCATAGACGGCGAAATCATGACTTTATTATGAAACTACAACCAGTGAGAGCTCTGACTTCATAACTGAGAGAATAGTGTTTGTGATCTCGTTAGAACTTTGACAGGGGTGTGCGCTGTGTGCACTGTCATGATTTTTCTTGTAGACTTTTCTATGCCATGTAGGTTCTGAAGATTTTGCTTGGGAGCTTTGATTATTCAGACAATCACTTTCTTTTCATGCAAAAATTTTAAAACTTACTTAGAGCCTTCGAAAAGAATATTTTTAACTTCAAAAATTTCATTATAATGTTCATATTGCGCATGTGCTAAGGAAAAAGAAACCCTTTCATTTTGAAGGCTTAATTTGAAGGACATCTATTTGTTTAGGCCATGATTCACTCCTCATGACCCAAATTTCTAAGCAAGAGAATTATAGGACAGAACATGTTTCTGTAAATTCAATTTAAAAAACAACAAAAGGGTGTTCAATGAAGTCTGCCTTCTCTGAAAGCACAGTGTTGAGTTCTTTTCATTAGACCATTTCCTCTGGGAAATGTAAAGTTTACGCATCGAATGAGAACCCCAACGTCCTTTCCTAATGCAGCATTTCTAACACAAAACTGGGATGAAAAGTTGTTAAGGAATCTGCTAAGCGAATTTAGATTCTACATGACTTTTAAATTGGCAAATTTGGATAAAGCTCTCCATCATTGAATTAATTGAGCCTTTCCAACAGAGTGGGTACGTTTATTGAGACATTCGAATGCTTGGCTTTTCCACATACAAATCTCAACGAGAATTTTTCAGGAACATAATGTGAATTGGCCAACGTGCTTGCGGACACCAAGATTCGGGGGAATAAACATCAGGCAAAATTCACCCGACTGTGTGACTGTGGGCCACGTGCTTAAGAGATGTTTCCATTTACTGAGCTCAGAGCCATGGGCCCCTGGCCCCTAAAACAGGGAATGCGTCTCAACAGAGTGGATCCGGCCTCACAACGCCTCCTTTTCAGGACGTTCACATGTTTAAAAAGTCTTTTGAGATAGTTTTCCTCCTGTGAAGACTGGGGGATGGTGAAAGGTGTCTTTAGTGACTCTTCCAGCTCCCAGCTGGTGGGATTCTGGCCTTGGGGCTTAGAGATTCGGATGTGAGGGTAGGTTTTCCTCTTCACTCTCTTCCAAAGGCGAGTGCCAGTCGCAGGAGATGCTCTGAACCCTTCTGGATATCGAAGCCATGTCCCTCTGCCATGGCCGGGCCTGTTAGCTTCTGTGCACCAGGCAGAGCTGCCCGGGGGCTGAGCCCAGCGA